CCCCCCCAATAATGGAAGGGGACTTTTGATTATTAAAGCATAATTAAGTGTATAGTAGCATCAAATTTTGGGTTTTAAGTTATTGAAGTTCATCACTACGAGCTTAAAAGTGTTTGATTAGAGGAATGATGATATTTTTATCATGATCATGTGGTTTTTTTCATCCAAAGTTGTCATGGATCTTGGTCTACTCAGTCAAAATTAGTAATAAACCCAACATGATTGAATGATCCTTATTAATACTCGTGAGCTGCTTCGTCTAAGAGAATTTTATAGATTTGGGTGGTTGTTTTTCTAAAGGGCATTATGGAAAAGTCACTGATTACCAGTAGGAAAATTAGCTAGTAATCTTACAAAAAAAAAAGGGTAATTAATATTAAAATATGATTTAAGTTCAACTACACCAAAATAAATTTTTTATTAAACTTGCATGGAAACGATGAGATCCGTCGTCGACCCACTGGTGGTCCTCCTAATGCTGATGTGTATGGGCATGCAACCCAACAATGCTCAACTTTCTGCCAAGCTTCATCTCCTTTGTCAACATATGAAAATGTTAGGAAATAAGTATTTATACAAATCATTTCAATGTTGTGAATAAATCTTATTAGCCTTCTTCTATGCTTGGTATGAGGAACTAAGACTCCATTGCATAAGGAGGTGCCCGTGTCCTCATAGTCTGAGGTCGAATTTGTTGTACTTGTCGTCTCCCTCTTATTTAGATACTCATGAGAGAAACACGCTCTGGACAACTTGATCCAGACATCCTCGGCTATTCAGATATACCTCTCCCACCTCTTATGGATAGCATCTTGTGGATAGGCTATATAGATGGATAAAACCTACAAAAAAATTAATTTTAACTAAATAATATAATGGAAAGATAATTTGGATTACTATGATTAAGTTTACATATGTAGCTCCAACCGACTCGATGCACATCCATCCCGAAGTGTCTATAGGAGACTCAACAGATGTTGAGGGGTCTGCCTCAAAAGAGGATGGAGTTGGCAGTGTGATGGAAGCTATAAGAGTTGGGTAGGTCTATGTAAATGTGTGTGTGGGAGGTTGAGCAACCAGCCTAACAGACACCAGTATAGTCCTCAAAGTAATGGCCATCACAGTGGTGTTCATCTACATGGTGGGATATTAAGCAACCCACATCTCACCCTGAATGTAGCTAGAGATAAATGATCTATGAGGATTTTGGTCCTCATTACCACCTCAAGCCATATGCAGTAAGAAAAAATAAATTGATAAGAATAACTAGCATGGGACATAACATAAGTAAAGTTAAGAAACAATTGAACTAAAGTAAAAAAAATGTTATAATAAATTAGAAAACAAATATAAATAAAAGAAGGAAGCAATTCAAGTAAAGTAGGAAACACCAAAATAGATAGTACAAAAGAAAAAACCTATAAGTATCCAACTTATTCTGATTCATCAACAAATGAGTAGATGTTAAACTTATAATTCCCTCTTCTATGTTATCATCCACATCATGACTAACTTTTTTGTATGCACCAGTATAATTCTCCTAGGTATCGGGCCTTGCTTAAAATAATCAAGAGGAATACCAAAACCTGAGATATCTTGCTCTTGATGAGCATTTTTAGAGTTAGTTCAAACCTCAATAGTTGCTCTAGGTATAGTCTTTATGTCCACTACCCTGTCAAGTTTGTCTCTTATTCTAACATGCTATCTAAGATAATATTTCTGACTAATTTGACGTATTATAACAAATGGATCAATTTTGACATATCTTTTGATCTCACGATCAGAAGCATTATTTCCTTAACACATGCACTCGAACTATACATTTTCCTTCTTTTGTACTAGAAACTCTTGTGAAATCTATAACCATTTACATCAAGTATAAGCTACATAATCACATTATGATTAAGCCCCAAGTACAATCTATTATGTAATGACCTGTAACCCAATTTCTTTGGTTATGAATTTATTACAAATATTAATATATGTAATTTGAGCATTCAGCTTACAACTATAGATTGTTGAGTTAGTAGAACTTATGCATAATCTAAATCATATTTGGAACTCTTCTTTAATCTCATTACTGATAATGCTCTTGTCCTCAATAATTAAGGGGCTCACAAATAACCTGGTCACATAATTAAAATTAAAATAATCAGGTTTATATAGCACTTTCAGTGATAACTCCAACAACACAAGTTAATACACATATTACTTGAGAAATGGTTGAACTTCATTGCATTTCATAAAAATATAGAAAGTCACTACTCAAAGCTCTTTGTCATCGTGGTATAATAAATTACATCTTCCTCATACTTTACTTGATTTCTGAAATAAAAAAAATCACAGATTGCTTAGAATCCTCAATTATAATTTATTCTATGGATTGTTGTTGCTCAAAAGAGTATGAATAAAATGTAGTTGTCTCCTGTAGTAAGTATGACCCTCACATATTTAGCCTTCAAACCATGCTTTATTTTTTAAAGTTCTTTTCATTTTATTTACAAATCTATAATAAGAATACTTATTTAATATGATACGACAATATCTTCTTTATACATTATATAATACGATAATATCTTCTTTATGCATTATATAATTAGACATTTGGAAGACATGCTTCTCAAATTG